CGTGATGAAGAATCAAAGTGGTCATAACAAGAATTGATTGTTTTTGCCTTACATCTCCATAAATTTGTCGACATATATTTTAATAATTAGATGCACCTGTTTCTCATGTTCTTAGCAACATATAGAGAAATCAGTGCTATCTCGAGACTGTAGTATTATAGTATTATGAAGTATTACTGATTAATCTATACCTTTTTTTGTTTGTTATGTAAAAAAAAGAAAGAAAAAAGTTTAATTCCATTTAAATAAATAATACTAAAAACACATGCTGATGATTTCTGGATATCAATCTTCTGGATATCCATTAAGTGCATCAACATGCTGGTCAGCAGAGGTTGGGCAAGAAAATGAATGAGCTAGATTGATGATGACAGAATAGATTTTAACAGCGTGGGAAAGTGGACATAACCTAGCAGCCTTAACTGACTATATACAAGAACCTTATTAAATTAAGTTAATAATGAGTTTACTTTTGTGTTTTTTACATAAAATGATTCATACTTTAAGTAATGCCATTTAATTATACATTTAATAAATTGTGCATATATGTCTGATTCTAATTAAATAACAAATCATTTAATCAATTTATTTTTGGCACTTTTGGCATTCATTAGACCAAATTGATAAAGTGAAATTGATTGAATTTGACCTGAGCCAGTTAGTCTGCAGCACTTATTGGAAAGACAACTGTGTTTCCGTCTGAGTTATTAGTGGTTGGTAAAACAGAAGGCTGAATGTCTGGTTTTCTTTGGAGTCAGTGGTTATGAAAGAAAAGAGCAGCAGTCAGAAGACAGAAATGAACTAAATAAATACATACTAATGAAGGAACCTAGCCAATGGCTGTGCCTTCGTGGCGTAAGACTACATGAAACATTAACCTAAAAGAAGTAAATTATAATATGTAAATGTAACCAACAAAAAAATGAGATAAAATGGGACTAGCTCTGAAAAGATTTTATAATGCTCAATTATTCATCTTCTTGTGTGTTTCTCATGTTTAGTCTTTAGTGTTTCATCTAGGCTAACAGATGGGTAATGAGGTCAGCTGCCCTTCTTCTGTTTTATATATACGTGTACATATGTGTGTGAGAGAGAGCCTCAGTGTGATCATTTTAAATCATTCAGCTATCAATAACATTGCAAGCTGCATTCATAAACTGTGTGTGATGCACAGGCACAGCTACCTGCTAATTAGTGCTAAGTAACTAGCTCGGTTTCACTCTCCAAAACTGAAGCACATACTTTTTGGATGCTTTGTACCCCACAGCAAATTATATTATTTGTCACATACTTCTGTTAAAAATGCTCCACAAATCACCACAACCAGAGGACCAGTTCACTGGAGGTGAGACCCAGCAGACGGCTACCTGGGCCCTGTTTCAGGAAGCCGGTTTAGAAAACTCAGAGTGAAAAACGATACGCAGGGTTGAGTAACCCCGAACTGTCCAACTCGGAATATTCGGTTTCAGAAAGGCTGATAACAATTAGTTCAATCAACGCGGAGTTGCGTCAACCCCAAGTGAAGCGCGCGGACGAGGATACATAAAGCCCTGATAAGCGGAGCACAGATTAAGCGAGTCACCATGGAGACGGAGGGAAAGAAGGCGCGGTCAATGTATTTCACAGCGCTTGAGGCCGAAATTCTGATGGCAGCATATGCCGATAACATGCAAATTCCGCGGAAAAAAGTAACACAGCCACAGCTGCAAAAGAAAGGGAGCATGCATGGCAAAACATAGCCGACAGAGTCAATGCGTGAGTGTTAATTTAAACATTGATCTAGGGATTCCCACCCATTTAACACGTTATTTTATCATATGTTATTTTATTTGTTATTTTATACATTTTATTTTGTGACGTGATGTGAGCGCAGGTGCAACCCAACAGGCCCCAAACGTGCCTGGCAGCAAGTAAAAATGAAATATAAAAATATAGTCCAAACAGGTAAGGTGTAATTGTATTATGAGCCATAGTGCTTGGTCTGTTTGTCCCATGTAAATCAATTGCAGTTAGAGGCTACATTAATTTTCTTTCTGTAAGCACTTATTGAAATTATCTGAGCACATTACAAGTACATATTTGCTTACTCTGTATGCTCAAATGTGACCCGTTATAGCCAACAGAAAAAAAGCGGAGGCCCGAAAAACAGGTGGGGGTCCTCCACCACCACCACTCACAGAGGCTGAGCAGTTGGCCCTCAGCCAAAACAGTGGGCGCCCTGTGGCTGAAGGCATCTCTGCGGGGGCATCCTCTGAGTCAATAACCCCGCAAGACACAAGTGCCTACATAGGGGGTAACTCCAAAATAATACATGATGTGCATACATCCTTTCTTCACAGTCACCTTCGCAGTGCTGCTCATTCATTTGATAAACTCTTTACCATAATGGATTATTTTGTAGTGAAGTTATTTTCCGACTGATTTTGCCTTCCCTCAGTCTTGGTTGTCTTTGAGAGCATAATGACAATGAAGTGTAAGGTGATTGGTATGTTTGTTAATTGCCATTTGGTCCCTTGTAAGTTATAAGTGACCTGTATAAACCTCATATTCTATCAGTTGATGGTGGTGGTGTACTGCATCTGGTGCAGCCTCCTGTTGAGCCAGACCAACATGCAGTTGTGAGTAATACTCCACAGATTATATGAGTTTACAGTAGAACTGCAATGTTGTTTATTTCTTTACTACAGGAAAATAATGAAGAAACATTGACAGCTGTTACAGAGGAGGAAGCAACAGAGACACTTTATGAGGTTTACATCTTTTAATACTTTGTGTACAGGAAACACAGGTGACCAATAAAGCCAGTTGAACAAAAAATCTGTTTATTCTTCTTTCAACATGTTGAGGTGATGGGTCAAAAGAAATGATTGTGACATATGGTGTCTCTGACTGCGCTTCCATCTTGTATGTCCGTGGGAGGGTCAGGATGTTCATGGTTTGGATCACTGCTGATGTTTGGTTCAGAAGGACAGTGTTCTCCTCTAATTGTGGCAATGTTGTGAAGAATCACACATGCCACAATAATGTCACATGCCCTTTCTGGGGTGACCCTGAGTCTTTGCAGGCACTGGAACCGGGCCTTAAGCATTCCGATAGTCATTTCAACTCTGGCTCTTGTCCTGCAATGAGCCAGATTATATCGCTGCTGTGGGCCCGGTTCAGGGTCAGGGTAAGGGGTAAGCAAATAGGGTAAACATGGATACCCCCTATCACCAAGCAAGTATCCAGTGAACTCTCCTAAGACAGAAGGATACACTTCAGTTCAAATGTCCCTGTAGCAATTGGTCTTTATATATTTTAAAGTATTTTCAACTCACCATGTCCAAATTTTGTGCTCAGTGTACATTCACGGAATATTTGTGAGTCATGGACAGAGCCTGGCCACTTGGCTTCCACATTTGTGATAATGTTGGCAGCATCACATATGATCTTCACAGTGCAGAGAACACAAATTAGCATCCATTACTATAATGAAATAATTTGTTAGTTTGAAATGCTACAGGGAACTATGTACCTGTACATTAATGCTGTGGAAAGACTTCCTGTTCACATAGTCTCCTTCATTTACTGAAGGAGCAATGATTGGAATGTGAGTGCCATCTGTACAGCCAATCACGCCTGGGAACCGTGAAAATAAATGTAAAATTTAAGTAGTAGTTCAAGTATCACCACATCATGAATTGAGTTTTGTTCATCCTGATACCTGCAATTTTGTGGCATCCCTCTTTGATAAATCTTGTGGGTCTATGACCGGGGAACACCACAAACGAGTACAGGAGACGTTTCAGTGCAACTGTAACATTCCTGACTGCCCGACAGACGGTAGCCTTGGAAATGTGCTCAGCGTCACCAATATTATACAGAAAGCTCCCGTTTGCAAAAAACCGAAGTGCAATACAAATAATATGTAATGAACTGAGAGCATGTCCGCGATGTGTCACATGAGCAATATTAGGCCTGAGGATGTTATCCAAATAACTTATAGATTGTGCTGAGAAACGGTGACGTTCACACAGAAAATCATCAGGAAATGATAAAATGTCCAAACGCGCTCTAATCACTCTCTCCCGGCGGAGAGCTCTGCGGAGTATTTGGGCTTCACGATCTACTGGCTCTTCAAGGAAGGAGCACGCCATGTCTGACACTTCCTACTGTCAGGTTTCCGACAAAGGGGCGGAGACAGTCAGGGTTAGTTGTAGTAAACCTGCTAGGGGGCAGGTTAGCTTCACGGCGTGTGTCGTCATAGTGACTCACTCAGGCTTCAGCTGAACTCGCTTTGTGAAACCGAAAACCCAGAGTTTTCGTTAACTCAGGGTATACTTAGTCAGACTTTGCACTAAACCGGCTTCCTGAAACAGGGCCCTGGTTCTGTCGTCTATGTTACCTCATCTGACAATCAAAATTTTATCAGTATCCAAATAAATAAATTGCTGTAGTAATAGAGCCAGAAACTGTTTTCTGTACCAACCTTTATACTTGCTTTTAATTCTGTTACTCTAAGTTGGGCATTTTAACATGGGAGTCATTTTTTGGCAATTTTTCAGCCCCAGAGGTTGGTTTTAGATTAATTAACACTTCCTGGAAGGCGTCATCACACTTACACCAGGATAATAAGTTGTCATAAACACTCTTCTTCTCTCCAGTCTGTCTTCTGCTGTTCATCTCCATGGTCATCGCTACCCTTTACCTCTCTCACACACAGACACACACACACAGTGACAGTAGAGGATGCGCAACCATAGCTGAGTGTAAAATGCAGCTGAGACACTCAGATTGAGCTGCAATGAAACAAGGGCAAATAAATTACATAAATGTATGTTTATGCTTGTTGCCCTTTGTTCGTTACAGGGAGCTTCTTGGTATGGAAATACTCCACTGCATATTTTAAACCTAGTATTTGACTTCAACTAAAACTGCCTTCTTATTTTCCTTGTTCTCTAGGTCCAGAGTGGTACTTGGTCAGAGTGGAGTTAACGGTGACGGATGTAAATGACAACATCCCAGAATGGAGCATGGTTCCTGCTCCCTACCTTGCTGTGGTTTCCCCTGATGCCTCTGCAGGTTCCCTGGTCTACAAGCTCTTTGCTGAGGATGGAGATGAAGGCAACAATGGTGAAGTGGAGTACTTTTTGTCTGACGGTAGGTTAAATTGCTTCTTCTTTTTTTGCCTGCATAGTGTGTTAAAGATCAGGTTGACTGTTTACAGCGTCACAACAATCACAAAACAGGGAGGCAATAATGTGACGGAGGAGCTATGGAAGTGACAAGCTAACAGTAAGCAGCTAATAGCAAACATACAACTGCATTATTATATGAATCTTGTGTTTTTGTGTACTTTTGCAGTTTTTATATTTGGTGGTTTTCTTAAGGTCCAGTGCATTTGACCTCGCAAGGCCACCATAGCCGACAGCTATGAGGGATTTCCGTAGTAGACAGCAAACCGCAGAGCATTTGGCTTTTCACTAATCACACTGAAAAAAGTAGACAAATTATATGCAAAACCTTTGAACAAAGAGGCATTTGTTGGTGTTGGCATTTTTAATAAAACAAAAGTCTCAGTTGCATAAATCATTTGCTTGATTTAAAATGTTTTGTTGTTTTGATCAGTGCTTTTTTTTTAATGTTCTGTATGGTGCAGACTCAAGTATACACTCTCTTTGAGCTGTTGCCCTCTGCAGTGCTGAGTTTTATGCGCACACGATTCTCCAGTGTCTTGTCTGGTTTTTTTCCACTGTGCAAAATAATTGCTTTTGTTATTGTCTGCTTTGTAATGATTTCTTGTCTCTGTTTTAGAATCTGTTTAAAAAGATGATTTTTCAATTTTCCTCATGGGGATGCATTGGAATAAACTGACTGAAAAATTATAAGAAAAAACATAGACATATTATTGTTAATATCTATGCTAAACTTTTCAATTTAAATGCTCAATCCCACCTCTCAAAGTTTAACTTCTAAAAATGCAGTATATTTTGGATCAAGGTCTTATTGAATCCTGTTATTCTGAATACAGGTCATGAATTTTAACACCCCAGTTCCTGTGGTTTTTGCATTTTCCTCTCAGCAACTTTGAATACTGATTGTCCAGTCATCTTTTTTTATTGGTGAATGCTTAGCATGCACTTAAATATTTCTGACAACTTTTGAAAGCAACTTTTGTGCAAAGTGTTTTGCCCTGTGGTCCTTTTCACTGGATGATCTCTGTTGTTGTGTGTTGCCTTATTTGCTTATCTTGTCTTTGGTGTATTACCCTTCTGTATATGATCAAACAAATCGTCCCCAGGTGGTGATGGTCGTTTTGAAGTGGACAGGAAGACTGGCCAGGTACGAACTACGGGCCTTCCCCTGCAGCGGGACAGGGAATACCTGCTGACAGTGGTGGCTGCTGACCGGCTGGGCAGCCGCAGTGCTCCTGCTGTCATCTCTGTGGTTGCTGGACCCCGGCCACCACAGTTTACCAATGCCTCCTTCACTATTGCAATACCAGAAAACACCCCTGAAGGACAACCGTGAGTTTACACACATTCATTCACTGAAATCCCTTACAGGACATCTACATGAAACAATATACATGACATTGACTACACACACACACATCTGCTGTTTTCCTTTCACTATACCATGATTAATATTCATGATGAAAAATATTACTATGTGTCTAAAACGACACAATCATGATGGGCATTTAAGTAAGTAAGTAAGTAAACTTTATTTATTAAGAGCTTTTCACAGACAGGCAATCACAAAGCGCTGTACACAAATATTAAAATATTAAAATTAACAATAAAATCAATAGACATTATATACAATGTAAAAGATCAAATGTAAATAATGTAAAAAAATATATAAAATATGTAGATCAACAAACGGCTTGCTTGAACAGAAGAGTTTTTAACTGTTTTTTAAAAGAATCCACAAAGTCAAGCAAACGTAATTGTAGTGGTAAACTGTTCCACAGCCTTGGTGCAACAGACTGAAAGGCTCTGTCCCCTTTTGTCTTCAATCGTGTACGGGGAACAACTAAGAGACTCTGAGTCTGTGAGCGGAGATGACGAGCAGCAGTGTATTTTAAAATGGTAAATGGTAAATGGCCTACATTTGTATAGCGCTTTTCTAGTCCATAGGACCCCAAAGCGCTTTACACTACATTCAGTCATTCACCCATTCACACACACATTCACACACTGGTGATGGCAGCTACATTGTAGCCACAGCTGCCCTGGGGCGCACTGACAGAGGCGAGGCTGCCGGACACTGGCGCCACCGGGCCCTCTGACCACCAAAAAAGAAGCTTGGATAAGTAATCTGGAGCCTGGCCATTTAGTGCTCTGTATGTTAAAACAAGAATTTTAAAGCGAATTCTAAACTCTATTGGGAGCCAATGTAAAGAATATAAGATGTGTATGTTTAATGTGTACACTTTTATTTATTTATTCTTAGATACTCGTGTTTTACAGACTAAATCCATACTGTGGCTCATTTAGCCTTTAGCATGTGTAGCACAGTAATAGGATTACCTTTAAATATTTATTTGCATACACAGTAAGAATAGGTAGTCATCGACATTTCTGCAGTCGCATTCTTAGCAGAAAGCTCTCTCTGGTGCCACATAGGGCTGTAACTTTTTCCATCATCTATCATCATCAGTGAGCATTAAACTTGTCATTGTACCAATCACAAAATAGAAATATTATCTTCTGTGCAACTCAGTGATGAAAAATATAGCTTTGCTAAATATATGTTTAGATAAACTTAAATATCCTTAAAATTAAAAAATGTCGACCATGGCATTAGTTGAGTTGAGTTGAGCTCAGCTGCAATCCTGACAGATCAGCTCATCTCGATGCCAGCCAACATCAGCTTTTCTCAGCTAATACCCTTCAATACATCCACTTATAAAGGGCTCTCGATTAATGTTTCTTTAGCCTGGCTTGAGGTAATGTCCATCTGTAAGCTGCTTTGCAACCCAACTTAAGGCAGTGGGTAGGACTAAAGGTATCTTAACCCTGTAATGCCCTTTGTATCATATGTGATACATGAGTTTCTGAGACCTCTATCTCATCAACATGATCAATACTTGCCATAATTTCAAAATGTTATGGACAAAACTCTCTTTTTTTTGTCTAAAATTTACATTGTTGTTAACAAAAAGTTGCCAAAAACATCCAATGTGTCAAGTCCATATAACATCTGTGGACAGACTTTAAGGTGGCACTTCAGTCATTTCCGTTTCAACCTGGGAGAGACAGACAGGCTCTAACAGAGTCCAAATGACTGTAAACTACAGTGGATCAAAAATACAACTGGAAATAAAAGATTTCAGTTCCTGATTTTTAATACGCTTAAAAAAAGACTCATAGAAACATATTTTCATATTCTGATTTTTATCTGATTAAAAATAAGGCAAGAATAAAAAAAGCACACAAAGAGCTTATGTTCTGACTTTCATTGATCAAATTAGCACTAATGTCCTTATTTTGGCTTCAGGGTCCACCTGCAGTCTCTTTACTGGGACTGACATATTTCTTCCTTCCTTCATCGGGGAAATGAGCACATTTATAATAAATACAGTGGTGTGAAAAAGTATTGCCCGTTTCCGGATTTTTGGCACATTTTTCACATTTACATGTTTACATGTTACATGTTACATCAAACATATAATATTCAAAGATAGCTTGAGTAAATACTAAATGCAGTTTTTGGATGATTTTGAAAGATATCCAAATCTACTTGGCCCTGTGTGAAAAAGTAATTACCCCCTAAACATAATAACTGGTTGTTCCACCCTTGGCTACAAGAACTGCAATCAAGCATTTGTGAGTCTTTCACATCGTTATGGAGGAATTTTGGCCCACTGTTCTTTGCAGAATTGTTTCAGTTCAGCCACGCTGGATTGTTTTCAAGCATGAACGGCCTGTGTAAGGTTATGCCAAAGCACCTCAATGGAATTTAAGTCCAGACTTTGGCGAGGTCACTCCAAAACCTTCATTTTGTTTCATTCTTTTGAGTCATTCTGAGCTGGACTTGCCTCAGTGTTTCAAATCATTCTCCTGCTGCATAACCTGAATACAGTCGAGCTTTAAAACCGATGGCTAAATTGTCCTTCTGGGTTTTTTGGTAAAGTGCAAAATTCCAGACAAAGCAATGGTTTTCTAACTGGAACTCTCCGAGGAAGCCATATTTGCCCTGTATCTTTCTCATTGTTGAATCATGAACACTGACCTTAACTGAGGCAAATGAGGCCTGCGGTTCTGCATCTGCCTGCAGATGTTGTTCTGAGTCGTCTATGTACTATTGGAGTAATTTTGGTAGCCCAGTTACTCGTGCAAAGTTTTCCTCATTTGTGGACAACCGCTCTCATTGTGGTTCATTGGAGTCCCAAAGCTTTAGAAATGGCCTTGTAACCCTTTTTTTCACTGATAGATGAAGTGAAAGTGACTCAGTTTCTCATCTGTTCTTGAGTTTCTTTAGATTGTGGGATGATGTGGGTAGCAAATACTAGCATTTTTATAGCTGTATGTCTCCTAATACCTCTCTTAGCCTTTTCAGGAAAAGGGCCGCCTTATCTATGGAAAAGTATTCATCACTCAAACATAAAAAACACATATTTTGAATACATTATTTCAAACAGCTTATCTACCTGATCATTTTGCAGGTTTTGCACATGAAGTCAACTGTGTTCTTTTTCTCCATGTCTTTCCAGCTTCTTGGCAACACCTGCTGTGTCCTTCCAGAAGAAACCAATCAGCTACAGTCTGCTTATCAATCCCAGTAGTCTCTTCTCCATCTCAGCAGAGACCGGTGAAATCAGCCTGACGCGCCCTATTGACTACGAGAGCGACCAACATCGCTACTTGCTATTGGTGCGAGCCAGTGAGGGGATAGAGAGCATGAGCAGTGCAGCCGAGGTTTGTGTCTATATATATATTTATATATGTATGGGTTTGTGTATGTGTATGTTGGTGAGTTTGAGATGTAAATTTCAAGAAAAAAAGTCACCTTTTTGATGCCAAATTCCTTGACTTCATGGTCTCAGAAGATTGGAGGCATTTCACATCTGCTTGTTAAGTCTTAGAAAGTCTGTAAACAATACTTCAATAAATATTTAATTAAAAAAATTGAAAAATCTGCTGTCAAAAAATGATGTAATATCAGTAATTGTCTTCACACAGTATTGCTTTCTTTGAGCTGCTAATATACAAGCCACAGCCACTAGAATTGTACACCCTGTGCACTGATAGTTTGTAAGATAGCAGTTGAATTGTGGTGATTGTGATTTGTGTAATACTTTTGCAGACAGACAGTAAAAATCATCACACATGTTCATAAGCTGTCAGAAGCATCCTTGAGCAGGAATACTTGATTCGTGCTGTGAAAATGTGGCCATAGTTATTGATTCCCAGTTGCTTCATAGATGGTAATCATTGTGAATGCTCCACTTGAAATAATAGTGTGCTTCGATGTTTCCTGATTTACACCTCTTTTAATTAAAGGTTTTTTTCTTTATGTGGCATCAGCAGTAATGTAGAATATATACCAGACTGTTTCGTGAAAATCCTATCTGGAAAGTAAAGCTTTTGAATTTATCAGTTGATGTATGTTCTAACCTTTGACTCTGGTTGTTAATACTGGGTAACGACCACGAGCATAAGGTTGGGAATAAAAGCAGCAGGTGGGTGGCTGGGCTCAGCCTTACAGATGGGTGTGAAGGCTCAGACATCTAAAGGGGGTTCGCAAAAGAGTTTGTGCTGCTGCGTTTCAATAGGAGACAGCTGAGACGCTTCTGCTCAGGATCCCTCCTCGGTGCCTCCCTTTGAAATTTTCTGGGCATGGTCAACTGGAAAGAGACCCAGGAACACCTAGGCATTCCCCAGGAAAAACTTCAAATAGTAGCAAGGAAGTTTAGCCCACTCCCACCTCAACCCGACTTGGAGAAAATGGGTACAGATGGACGCACTGACAGATGGGCGGATGGCCTCCACCTGAATTTATCAAAAAAGTTATCTTCACCTTGAGAGACATGTCTCTGTTTTTGTGAACACTGTTTCCTGTAAAACCCGAATAGATTTGTCTGGCTGCAGTGACTGCTTTGGGATTCCCGATGACTTCCTCACGTTGTCAGGAAGTGAGACAAAACAGCGGCTGACCGCTGCAGGCGCTGATGCATCTGGTCTGGTTTCCATCATTACTCTGGCCTCAGGCTAAAAGATGTCCTGCTGAACCAATCTGTCCTAAACTGCTCCACTTTGGGCCTCTTTGGCCTACAGAGCAACAAAAGCCTGTGTGGAGAAGGAGAGCGAGGAAAAAGAATGGGTGAAGATGAGAGGATTTTTATCGAGAAGAAAAATACAGTTGGAAAGAAAAAAGGGAAGAAAATGGCAGGTAGTTTTGTATTGTACCACAGCCTTCTTAGCCCCACGTCTGCCCAAGAGCTCTCCCTGTGTTCAGTTTGATCAGCACTCAAAAGCCTTCGCCTTCTAGACGCTGCAACAGCCGCTTCTTTGTCTCTGCAGTTTAACCCTTTAAGACCTACCATAGAACCAAGTCCGCCAGAGCTTATATTATATTTTTACATGCTGTGGAGCCATTTTTTGGAGCATTTCAAGTTGCTATACATCAATACAACCATTATAGCCCAACTTTTAATAATATGTCTGCATTAAGTGCATAGTAATTACATAAATTGCAAAAAAGTGCAATAAACTACAAAAAAATTTTAAAATCGTTTTTGTTTTTTTAACATATATTTCTAGTTAGAGAAATTTAAGAGGCTTATCCCTCAAAACTGTAAATACAAAAAAGTTGCACAAACTAGTTTCCCACCAAAGGAAATTTATTTTAAGTGTCTTCATAGTTTTATTTTTGAGATACACCAATTTTCATATACTGCAGGAAAAACAAAAAAATATATTATAGTGCAAATTTGCAAAATAACAGCATATGCATCAAAATAAAATATTTCCAGCAGTGCAATATGAGTCCTCAGCATCCCAGAAACGACACAGAAAGTCATAAAGTCAAAGATAACTTTTAAAAACACCAGTATAGGCTCATGAGGCCAAAAAAACTACATTTCTGCAAAATGACGTCACTTCCGGTTTCGGGCAGGTCATGCCGGACATGTGATAGTTCACGCTGATGGAAGTAGGAAGTGTTACAAACAGCTGATCGGACCGGCAAAGCGTGTTTCTGGAATATTATGTTTTTGTTGCTGCTTTTTATGCAGTTTTTGTAAAGTTATATGTGGAAGGAAACTGTGACTTAGGACAAGCTGATGGCATAAGATGTAAGTACAACTCCTCCGGTTTCATATGCAAAAAAAATTATTGCGCTAGCTTACGTGGTTGCAGTGCTACTGGGATTTAAAAATAGTTACGCAAAATGGAGCGTGTCTGCGCCAACCGGCTTTAAAGGGTTAAAACGGAAATTGAATCAAATGTGGGCACATCACCGGCATTATGTTCACCATTTATCACACAAAGCATAGTTTCTGTCTGGCTCCGTTAAAAAGCTCTTCAAAAGCATGTTAACAGTATAGAAAAAATTCTGCTTTTGCTACTTAAGGTATTTGAATTTAAGATTAAAAGACAGCAAGTACTTTTGAAGGCCACTACATGAGGACTTTGTCGTTATATTTTCTTCTTTTTAAAGGATCTGGAGCTTTTGTAGTGAAATTATCATTTGTTTATAGCTTATGGGGCTTGACTTAATCCAAATCTGGATCCAGGAGAACAAATTTCTTGCCACCCCCCCCCCCCCCCTCCCCCAGATCCAGTAGGTTATCTAATGTATGAAAATAGCCTATTATTGAAAAACTATATATTATATATTATATTATAAAGTAAAGCTCTTGCAATAATAGCTCTTCTTTTGCTAACTATCCGATTCAAAGGTGTTTTTTTTTTGAAGAACGCGCCATCTCTTGGTGACACCGTGCAATTAAATGAAGGGGGCATGTTTAGAGCGAAGCTAGGCGGGGCTCTGAGTGGCTGACTGTTGGCTGACAGTAGCTGTCAGAATTATTTTTTTAAAAACTTATCAAAAGTTCCAGAGTTATAAAATGAAGTTATGCAAACACTATCTAGTGATCGCGGCTGTCAATTACAAGCCAATTATTTTTGATCCAACACTGGAGTGGATGTTTTGTACATTCTGAGGGGGGATGAAATGCTGGCTGCCACCATAAACCCCTGTTTATCTGTTTACATACGGTTAAACTCGGGTATATTGTAGTATACCACATATCACACCACATATGTTCATGTGCTCATTTTTGTCAAGTGCTGCACAAGAGAGGAATTTGCTGTTGACATTGAATGCATGCCTGGATGTGATACCACAGTGACTCTCCCCACACTGGCAAACATGCAGCAGTCAGCATCTTCAAAGGATGCACTCATGTGGAAAGGGGAAAAAAAGTGAAAACAGCTAAAATGGCAAAGGGCAGACAAACGGTTTCAGGGCGAGTTCAGGGTTTGTGTTACAGACTGCTAAATGTAACTGTCACTTTTTATTATAGTGGAACATGTAATCAAAATATTTTCACTAACCTGTCACTATGTTTCTGTTTATTTAGTTTATCACAGAGATGCAGACAAAAACTAACCAAAGTTTATCACGAGCGTCACCATGCAGTGGCTGTCATGGTCTCAGTGATAAACTCCAGCTCACTGGATTCATCTGCAGCATGTCAGTTTTAGAGGTTCATAATATACTCTTGCTCTTTCTCCCTGCCATCTGCCTCGGGAAGGCCCATATTGGATTTTGCATTAATTAAGACATGTTCTCTTGAGATAAGTAACCAATCGAATGGCATACGGCTACTTGTGACCATGCCAAAATAAACATATTCTGATGGCATTTTGGTTGTAAGCCTTCTGTTTGAGTTTAGACAAGTATGAAGCTGTCCTGAGATTGCAGACATGTGTTGTACTTGCAAAAATAGTGCCTAGCAACTCAAATACTTATCCACAGAAAGGCATCTGTTAGTCAAAAAATTTCATGTGTATAAAGTATAGAACTTTATGATGGAAGTTGTTCTTTTTTTATCTTTTTCTGTGACACTGTTTCCCAGTAGCAGGTTAAAAAAAATCACCTATTAATTTGTTTTCCATAGAGGACTGCCCTTTTCTGCTTTTGATTTTATTCTACTTTTCAGAAATCTGCCGCCCTCTATCAAAATAAGAAACAGACGTGCCGTATTTTGTGCACTGGAGTCACTGAGCATGACTTTAATTTGCAGGTAGTTTCCAAGTTTCTCCCTGCAGGAGTGATAGCTCATCGGCACCATTAGTTACCTAACCAGCCTGAGACCTGCCTGCAGCTTCCCAAGTGTGTGCACGTGTGCACATTCCTGTATGCGTGCGTTTGAGCCCATCTTGCTTTATTACAGCTGACTTCCTCTCTCTTCTCATTCAATCTTGCCTTTCCTCAGCCTTGTATGCACACATACTCTACCATTGTATATCCTGCCTATTTCCTGTCCAGCTAGGGCATAGATTTGCTCATTAGGACATGCAAACGCACACATCGAAACACCCAAAAAAAAGGTTGACAGTTATTGGCAAATGCGCACAAATCACCTCAGGGAGTTGACATGGGCAGATTTTATTTTGTTGTTCATTGCTTTGTGGCTGATCTTTGCTGAAGGATTAACTGATATTACAGAATTTCATCTTACCTACCAGGACTTAATACCAGTGGTATTTACAAAGCACTCACTGTGTGTATGCGATTGTGTCTGTAGGGTGAGTGTGTATACGTACAGCTTTGTTTGGGGAAAAAACACAAGAGGGACTGAGGGTCAGAGGCTTGCCTGCCAGCCCATGTCTATTTATTGCTCTTGGACTTGAAGCAGGCAGTCAACATCTGGAAGGAGATGCTTTGTTTGCCTTTATATCCCAAACGAACTGAGCAGTATTACAGTGTCTTAGCAAGGCAAATGCCTTCATGCTCACGCTAAATAAATTCATCCTTGCACACTACTCATTTGTTTGCTCAGTGCTTACAAGAAGCTCCACGGGGTTCCGCTCTCCACTGACCAACAAGAGGGACCACAACGCTAGTTCACTTGCAGCTTCTTCCCTGTGGCGAGGTCAATAAACCACAGGAATCAGGGTCAGGGCATGGATTTGGAGGAGGTTGAGATGAAGCTTCCTTTTGGTTGGAGATGGGGTTAATTTGGGTCACTCACACATGAAAATGACTCTGAATGCAAAGAAAACCAATTTTGGACAGCGCCTGAAGTAGTAATCCCAGATTTCAAATTTTCATGACACTGTGCCAGTATGACTTTGAATCTGCAGCATTTCTGCTGATTGGCTGAGCAGCTTTTACATGTTCATAGACAGAAGCAGTCTGAGATTAGAAATGCAAATGCTTCATTGTTTTAATTATGTTGTATTATTTTGTATTTCATGAATTAATTTTTTTTACCAGAATGCTTGAAAGGAATTTCAACATAAATAGCAGAAAATACACGAATAATAACAAACTGTCTGACCCAGTTCATGTGGACATGCTAACTTGCTTTAGGACTTGACTTGTACTTTTTCCCTGAGAGTATTTAACATGCCACACACATTTTACTGGCCTGATGCCTACTAGAGAAGATGTAAGATGTGCAAGGCATTCTTTTTCTTTTCTTTTTTTTTTTGTTCAGTTATGAACAAAAGAGCTTACAGGAGCATAAGCATTTGTTACATATGACCAGTCGTGAGTAAAACGGGGAATTCTGTACAAGAAATAAAAACAAGAAGAACTGTTTCATTTCTTTAAAATGTGTTATTGACTGTTTAAATGTTCAGAAACAATTTGAACACATAAATTAATTTAATCTTAGCCTCTTTTTCCTTCTTTTCCTCTTCCCTCATCATCACCCTCTCAGGTACGGGTAGTTATTACTGATGAAAACGACTGCGTTCCTGAGTTCCTCCAGTCGATTTACAGCAAGGATGGTGTACCAGAGACTGTGACAACAGCAACCTCCCTGCTGCAAGGTAAGACAAGTCTCAAAATACCTGTTTGAGTACCATTTATAACCCACCAGCTTCACTGAGTGCATTCTTTATTTTTAGATTCACATTATTAATTTAAAGCTCAACTTACTACTCTGTATCAGTTTCTTATATGCAAAGGAAATTTAACATTGCACTGCCTTCCCTGACCTACAGAAGTAGGTTCATCTTATTTTTTAACTCATCTTCACTGATAAACAGCTCCCGGTTATGTAATTTCTGATGCACTAATCACAATGTTATTAATCTTTAATGTTATTAAAGAAATCCTGAAATGGTGTTTGTGCATTTTTTCACTGGGCTGAATTAAATATTTCCAAGTAAAACTCTCAGAATTGCAAGGACCTTTATTATGTGTGCCTGTATTTGGTGACTTTTAAAAGAAAAAAAGTGAAAGAAGAAAATAACAATCCGTGTTTTACTTCTTGTGTTACCAGTTAAATTTAAGCCAGGTGCAGCTCAGTTGGCAAACACGTGCCTCTGTGGGAGCTGTGATATGCAAATGTTTGAGAAGCTTTGCTGTAGCAGCTTTCAGAACAAAACAAGAGTGCCTGCGCTTCTTTAACATTCATGTATTTTGACTGGTCAGGAAACAGAGTAGGTACTTGTCAGCACCGGCATCACTGCTACTTTCATCAGTGCAGCTGCTGCAGCCTCTCCGTTCCTGTAATAACCCAAAGGGAACGCTTATGTTTCATCTCTTTGTGAAGAAATGGTGATGCCAACTGTTGTGGGTATGTCACAGTGACACTTTTACGCTGCCAACACAACTGACAACAGAGTTTTTCCGTCTTCTCTCGGAGACTGTTTCTTACTATCTCCTCTAAAACATTGTTGCTTTTTTATTAAAACTTATAGACATCTGTTTGTTTATAGCGCTAAACAGATCAATCTTTAGCTTTTTGAACAGGTAAACTTTAAACAGGGCAAGAATGAAAATGCAAGTATATTTTAATTGCTTACAAGAACTGTGTGAAAATGACTGTAGGTATGACACCGTTTTGGAAATGTCCATTAGCTGTGAATGCAGGCGGGAAGACTTTGGATTGAATTCATATTAAAGAAAAAAACAAACAAACACAAGACTGTGTGTGTTTTAGTGTTTTTTCTAAACATCTAAGAACAGCTAAGACCTGTAAAATCATGCCGTATTCTGAGAAAAGTTACTTGTTTTCAGGTGAAAGTTAACAGCAAACATGGTTTTTGTTTGAATAAACAAAAGAGGTGTTAAAATTGTTTACATTGCTTGGAAATTTTGCTCCTATGCTTCAATTTGCAACATTGTCCTGGAGAAAACAAGCTGAATTTTATATGTAACTAAAACAATAATATAGCCATTACAACTTTAATCTGTTTTCCAGCTAGCCTACTGAAATGCAGTCTCAATGGTTATAATGATATTAATTTGTTAACCTGTTGCTTACTTGTCATCTTGAGGCAATGGGCAATTTTTAAATTTTGCCACTCCCCGGCTGATATCCAGGCCAACGAATCCTGTTCCATTTGCTGATTTATGAGTGTGAATATAATTTTAAAAGCTAATAAAAAGTTGAGTCATTGTTAAAAATACATTTTGACAAATGCAATCCCAACTTTGGTCTTCAGATTAATTTACTTACCCACATGCAGCTGAGATCTCCGACACCACTGGCTGGAATGCAACCCCAAACCATGACACAGCCTCCACTGTGTTTTACAGATGGCTGTACTCACTGCTGTACCTCTCACCTGACCTCCATGTACATATTGATGACATTTTAAACCAAAAATGTCAGATTTAGATTCTTCGCTTCATTAGATAAGTTATCACTGACTTTCAGTCTAGTTCTTGTGTAACCTGGCCTACTTCAGCCTTTCCTCCCTGCTTTAGTTCCTTAAGAATGGCTTCTTGATAATCACATTTCCCCTGGCACCCTTTCTGATCTTGTAGGTCTTGTGTCAGATCATTGCTGAATTTTTTTTCCTGGTTCTTGAGGACGCGACTTTCTCCTTGTCTGATTCACTTGTCCAGTTTCCTGAGATCACCACAAGTTTTATATGAAATATTATGGCAGTTGGGAAGGAGCCCCACAAGAAAATAGCTGAGGCAACAACTGGAGCACATGTGAAAGATTTCCAAAGTGGTCCCAGTGATTATACAGTAGGAGCACTGGGAGCTGTAACCCTGAAAATGGAAGAGTGGTGTAGAAAACATGCAGTCCAGCTCAGAAAATGTACAGAATCCTGAAACTCACAGGACCAGAGCTTGAGAATTACTTAGACAGTGTTTTTATTTATTTATATATTTTTAATGCTTTTAAACATGCAGATGTTATTTATTTCTAGCGAACATGGAGAAAGTAAATGAGTGAATGGGGGAGTGAGGTGCGCACTGTGGGAGAGACGCAGCAGGCCCTTAGCTCGCTGCCATTAACAGGTGCACCAAGGGAGGCGAGAAGTTTCCTCCTGCTGTGCTGCTGTGTTCCCACCCATTTCCATGCTTGTTTGAACACTTGTCAATATTTCCGTGAGTGGGGAAAAAAACCCACAAAAACAGTTATCACATTTCTGCACAGAGATTCCAGTGATTTCAAAATGCTTCAGGATTATGATATAGCAAACCATCTATGTGACCTGTGCAATTTTCAGTCGTAAAAATAGACTGTTGCTGCCTAAATTTAGTGGGGTGAAAAATGTGTCGTACAAATTGTAGCTTTCCCAAAATAATGAACAAAATTGCCCCAATACATGGTATAATTAATACAGTTAATTTTACCCAATCCACTTCTGAGTACATCTAAGACTGAGCAGCCCAACTTCCTGAAATAAAGACATTTTTCCCCCTTCACTTAATTAAGTGGGTTAAAAGGCATAGTATAAATTAAATGAGCAGGGAGAAATGGGCATCCAGCATCGTTTTGCTAAATCATGTGCTAGTAATCCCATAATCATTTCCATCGTGAGAGTGGACAAATCTGTACTTTGCCAAGTTGGAAATCAACTGCAGCACAGTGTACCAAGCAAGCCAATTATCTTGCTTTCCATAGAGATCTGAGGATCCCGCTGTCTCCATCTTCTGTACAAAATCATAATATGCCAGAAAGACACGAGGGATGCAGCTAAGAATGTATAGAGGCCTGTTAAACAGTGTAGCGATGCTAGTGCAACAATGCTGATTCAAGATTACAGAGGACTTACTGATAAATAGATGCTTAAATGTTTTCCTGAAGAATAGAAATCTCTACTTAGTAAATTAAATATTGACTCATATGTGACATGTGTTTGGCTACTAGTGTTGCAGTTCATTTTCAACCCATCATCACTGAATGAGAGGCTGCTCAAAAAGCAAAACAGCTGTGTTTCAGTTTTTCTTCAGAAGACTGCACTACAGAACCAGGTGCAGGAAAAACACACATTTATTTTTATCCAACTTGTAAAGTGTAGAAAAATCTAAATAAAAGACTAACATTTTGGTAAAAGGGATCATATTAACAACAGTAAGAAGAAGAAGAATTGTAGAATTTGTCTGGACAGAAATGGTTTTTTCCACACTTGATTCAGCTGTGTATCAAAGATTATTCCTAGAAATCAATCTGACATAAAACAAAACACAAGAAACCACTAATGATGAATACTGACTATGCTAAAATGTGACACAATCATCCATTTAGTGTTAAATCTATATGGGGCCATCTGTAAGTGAAAACTCATCTCTAGGTATTCACAATTTTTGTGTAATGTTTATTTTATTATTTATTTCTGCGTGTGTGAAGTAATAAGAATGAAAGTATATACGAAGACCCATTCATGTATTAAGCGATTTCTCGTTTGACCATTATTTTCTTTCATCAGACTTCAATCTCGTTCTCTCAACAGTGGCCTTAGTGATATTAGTGGTATGACATCATTTAACTGAATCCATAAACTTTGCTCAGATAGCAAGATTAATGCCTTTGGTAGTTTGATTTTACACTTTCAAAGTCATAGTGCATTTGTAATGAAATGAAACTGAAATGATTGACAAATATATCAAACTTAATGGGAAAATATAGCAAAACCAAAAACACAAACAGGATGGTGTAAATGGAACCTCATGGCTGATTTTCTCTGGCTGTTGTACTCTCATTGTTAAATTTACTTTAACTGTACCAAAGCATCACATTTCCCATTTGTGTTTTGTGGCTTTTATTTTATTTTTTTAATGGAACTGAAATATTTTTCATTCAGTTCAACATAAGGACACATTGAAGGCCACAGCCCCACAAACATTTTGAATATTACCACAGCACTTTGAAAATTCAGCTAATCCTGTGTACTCACATACGAAATGTCTCTGCTGAAATAATGAAGTGAAACTAATCATGCAAATAAACACTGACAAAGTTTATATACCTCCTTAACGAACCCAGATACTTTGTTTTGCAGGCATTTTGTTAATTGAACGCACTTCAAACTGTTAATTTGAAGCTAGTTAGAGTTCCCCGAGGCTTTATAGCAATAAAGAATTATGGTTTGTTAGTGGAAGCAAACAGTGGCATTGTTTTTATGTATGTGTGCATCTATTATTCATGTGAGCATATGTGTGTGCGCACGCATGTGTGTGTGCACTTCTGTATGGGCCCTTGAGCCAAATGCAATGTAAGGTGAATTGGGGAATTGAGCTTTTGATGGTGAATGTTCTTGTTAGTGTAAAATATGCTTATTCAAATCCCTGGTGGTCTTTTCAGTTTTAGCAAGGCAGTCAATTTGTGGCCAGGCGAGTCCTGGCTCCATGGATTCCCAATATGTGATGTGGAAGCAGAAATGTTGCAAAATGACAGTCCTTTCAGTGCATGCTGGGCAAATTACGCTTACTCCCGTGGCTTAAAATTGTGGCACTGGAAGCGTCAGTTTGAACACATAGTGTAGCATGAGAATTGAGATATCAAGTGCATATGGTTTGGATGAAATACCAGAAACAAACTTTTAAATAATTAGAGAACTCGTTCTGCACAAACAGTTTCTCTGGCGACTTCATTCAATATGGTACATTAGCTAAAGATAGTTTGTTATAAGTAGTAGTTTCGATGGAAGTTTCTACTTTCATCAAAAAAAACCATGAAAAAAGCTAAAGCATAGTGATGTGACGTTACTATCTGTGTTGGTTTCCACAGGACAGCGCAGGCAGTATGTCCGTCTTTATTTTTAAGGCAGCACAGACAAACTTGGGGCAATAGCAACATATGCAAGCACCTGCTCCTCCTGCACAACTTTCATTATAAACGTGTGCACTAATACTACAGACTTAGTAAAGGCCTTCATCTTTTAACTTTTCGATTTGTACAACTTTTATTTGTGAAATAAATCTTCTGCAAGTCCTCATATTTTTACATTTGAATATATAGTGTATTCAGAAAGTGTTTCTGCCCTTTCAAGGTTTCCACATTTTGTTGTTTCGGGCACATCTCCAAAGTGATTCACTGTATTTTTTTCCCATTAGCAATAGAAGTGCAGAACTTTTAAATCACACAGCAGTTTTTTCTTTATGTGTTGTACTAATGAATTAAAACATGAAATATTGAAATAATCCAGTTATATATATAAAACATCACAGATGAAATCTTATGCATCCTGCTTCTGAAGGTTATTGAATTCAATAAACCTGGTGAACAAAGTCAGACATCTGCTGATATGCTATGTTGTATTTCTTGAAAACTTGCAGAAAAAATAGAGCAATCCTGAGTAAACCTTTTTCAGGGTCTCAGAATGGAGCTAGATTTAATTTTAACAAATTAAAGACCTGAAGCATATCAACAAGAAAACACAGGAGGAGCTTTGGGAAGATGCTGTGAAGTTCTTGCAGTGGCCCAGCTAGAGTCCTGAGCTGAACTCGGTAGTGAGAATATCATTGTAGAGACCTGAAGGTAGCAGTACAATCCTTTTAGGATCATAAACAAACCGACTAAGATGATTAAGATACTTTAACCACTTGCTGGTAATGAACAAAAACACAAATCTTCTTTCTTGTTCATTTTTATTGTGTATAAAGGAAGAAATTAACAACTGACTACTGCTGCTTGAATCTCAAACATATATGCAGATACATGAAAATGTAAGTTATAAATATATGTCACAAAAAATGAGAAAGCAAGAAAACACAGTTTCCATCCAGCTTCCCTCCTTTCCTCTTGTGGATATTTAACAAATTGGTTTTCTAGTCTGTACGGTCAGTCTAGCTAAATCACCAGTGGTAAATCCAACCTTTGTCGTCTTTGTTTAGTCCTTCTGAACTCTGTTTTTTCTATTCTCCATCTCTGTGTTCTCATCTTTAGTTTCGGCCAATGACTGTGACTCGGAAGAGAATGCAGAGCTGACCTATTACACCCTGAGTCCAGACTTCACTATTTCCCCTCACGGAACAATCTTCCCCGCGGGACCTTTAGACTATGAGAGACCTAATCATCTGTATGAGTTTGTAGTCATGGCCATTGACAAGGGGGAGGTTCCTCGTACGGGCACGACTACGGTACGGATTAGGATGGCAAACGTCAACGATGAGGCACCTGAGTTCTCCCAACACATGTAAGTAAGACTTGTGCTTTATTGTTTAAGAGAAAGAGAGATAAGCTCTATATTATTCTGTGGCTGATTCCTGCCTGCCTGCCAGTCAGGGTGAAGGCAGGAGAGGCTGACAGTCTTCTGGTGACAGCATGATGTTTGGTGCAGATACCGAAGGACCAACTTTGCTGTGTACTCATTTCTACATTGCCAAAGGCAAACAATCTCCTGCAGTGTCTCTTGGTTAAGTTGTTGAGTGTAGGCTGCTGCACATATATTTTAGGTGCAAGCTGCCATTCACTCTTTTGAGGTGCTGCATACAATTGAATTTTCAGTTGTATTGTTGGCACAGGGGCACAGAGTTTCTCTGCATTTTCTTTCTGCAACTTGTTCAACAGAGGATTTTATTTAGCGCTGAAATAAATAGTCAAAGAATTGAACGTAGGAAAGGCTTGATGTTTGAATTGCTCTTTGCTCCCTTGTTCCATCCTCACGAATGCACATATTTTCTTACTTTTCCTCTTTTTATGGCACCAACGTGAATATCTCTGGGGCTTTAAAACAAGCAATTTCTAAACAATTATGCATTTAATTACATTTTTTAAAAATATGAGAAACAAACCTGTTGAAGCTCTTGGGGCCAAGACAAAAATATGGCCGTTGTCTGAGGTTTTCTTTTTTCGGTTTAATTAAATGCAAGCATTCCTGTCCTCCTTTCTCTGATACACTTGAATTTACACTTCAGATTCAGTTAAACTGGTAACACCTGTACAAAGTAGAATTAAATGAGGTGAACTAAAGAGCTGTGGGCTGAGGTTTTCAGTCAGCACTGATCCACCATCAGGGCCACATCTACAACACGTCTCTTTGAATAACTCTCCTCTCATGGTTGAGTTGCATTGATTCAGCTCCACAATTCCCTGCTGATTTCAAATAGAAATGGATCTATATGCAGTAATTCTTTGGCAAAAATATCTATTGCACATTCCTAAACATGCTGATTTGAAGCCATCTGTGATCAAGTCATTTTAGATTAAATCTGTCACCGGTGTTTCTGTTTGTGCACACAGTCCACTGATACCAAAGTAAATAAGGCAACCAGAACTACTTCTCTTAGAAGTTGAGTGAGCGGAGAGCTTCCCAGTTCAGCATCACAGCTGCTGTTAGCACACTCCCCCCTCCCGCTCGTGCTGCTGTGGTGTCTGCATCTTTTAATTGGTTGATTTTTCTGGCAGAGAGCTGGGCAGATTGGTGAGGCAGGGTCAATCAACCATGCCCACCAGCACCCTCAGGAGGTCCTGAACCCTAACTCTGTGTGTGCGTATGCTTGCGCCTATATATGTGTGTGTTTAGTAATTGAGAAGGTCCCAAGAAAGTGAGGTTTTTGTATGGACAGATTAATGTGGTTATAAAGTGCATTCATCCATCGTGCATCTGATATGCATGTGTTTATGTTGTTTATAGAGGAAAGGGACTAGTGTGTGTGTGTGTGTGTGTGTGTGTGTGTGTGTGTTTTGGGTTGTATTGACTTACTGTCAGCGACAGCCAAATAATCCATCAGTTCTTCCTCTGTAACCCTGAACCCTCTGTCACAACTGCCCTAAAAACAGTACTTGACAATCTATGATTCATCATTCAGGCACGAACAGAGCTCCAGAGTCATCCATGCAGGCAAACACACTGGTACAAATACACTTAAATGTGCACACGTGATGACATCTGTTATGTGTTTGATGAAACAAATACAGTAGGGCCAGTTTAGTGGGATTATGCTTTTGATAAGGTTGCTTACTTTCCCTCTGTTACTTATGTTTCATTTGCCTGTGTGCATGCAGGAAAAATGTGCATGTATGTTTAGTTACATGTGCTGAGCAGAAAGGGAAAAAAAGCACGACACAGAGAGGGGTCATTAAATATATCATTATCCAGGCAGAAAATGTGGCCTATTTATATTGATCCTTGGAGTCAAAGGGAAGCGATAATGAGCTTTCATTTCAACACGTTTTGCCAGTTTATAATGAATCTAGGTTGCAGCTCTCGAAAAATGATGTGACCACTTAAAAGTGGAATTTATTTGAATTTCTTTTCTTAATTACACAATGTGTTGATCTTTGTTATTGACTTACTAAAAAGAATGTGATATGTTTTTCATGTTTATATATTAGACCTCAAGATCCTAATATACATATTCTATATGTAAAAGTGGCTGCAGCTTTATCATGTCACCCACTCAGTTTGAAGTCTTTAGTTTATTTTATTGAGCATATTTGGCTGAGACGGTGGAAAGTTATCAGCTCCACATGACTAAAACCTAGTATTTTACTCAAGAAAAACAGAGGCTTTGTGGAAAGGCTGGCAGTGTAATTAAATGCTAAATAAATCATATTTAGTCACAAAATGTCATTAAAAATGCTCTGAAAGACACTACCGCTGTGGTGTAACTGACTCTGCTTTAGTAACTTGAATTAGCTCGGGTGAATTTTCATTCTCCTGGAAGGATAATCTAGTGTTGGTGATCTTTGGAGCCAACCTGAATTGGCTAATAGAGAAACCCTTTTTGGCACCAGAAGTTGCCGCTTGTAAAAAGAAATATTTTTCTAGCTGATTTAGTTGAAGTAGTTGAGATTAGTTCAAGCAATCAATCAGCTAACACGTCTAAGATGTTAATTCAAAAAATGGTTTGAGTTTTAGCTTGTATCTCATTGTTCAGCCTTCTTGATTTCCCCACTTACCGATACACTTGTAGATTGGCAGATGTTTATGTGGCACTGCTTTACCTCTTGCAAAGGAGAGTTTACATCAGAAGGACTTCCTGCGAAAATAAAAGTTTAAAAATTGAGTGCACTGTAGTGACAGCTTGCTCCAAACAGAAGCCAATACCGGTACCTGTTGGCTGCCAGGTAATGAGCCATAACACAAGGACATAATTGTAGCACATGGTGTCTGTATTTTATTGTCTTGTGTGCTGGTACTGTATCTCTTGCTTCGTCTGCATTGAACCTATCCCTACACCCTCTGCTTTTTGGACTATATTACACTCTGCAGCATTGAACTGTTTACTTCATATTGGTTAGGGAATGTATGGAATGTATTACACACCACCAGTGGTTGAACAAAAAAAGAGTAATTTGTGGCTATAGGAGATAGGGCTGTTCGATATAATGATATATATCGGATGACGATATAAAAACATCTATCGTTTCATTTTACGCTATCGTTTGTTTCGTGGTGTCGCAAAATAAGCTGTTTATGGCAATATTTTTTATGGTTTTGATGGTCACTGTAGTGGCTAAATTCATTTCTTAAAGTTCTCTCTTTCTCTTATATTTTATATAACCACACTACTGACGGACAAGCGCCTGTTTTTATGTGTTGTGGTTAGCAACAACGACGGTAACACCATAGCGCGTCCGCTTGTTTATGTTCCACGTAAACCTTTCACAATAAAGCTCAAGATCCTGTTGAGACTTTTCAAAATAAACTGAACCACGTGAAAGAGCAGATTATTTCCGGATGAGAAGTAAAAAAGAGCCGCCAGGTGCTAAAAAAAACAACCCTTAGACTCAAACGTTAGAACAGGCCTTTCCCCGCAGCACGCCGTGTAATAAATGCTCACAAAGAAAACGGCGGCTGTTACAACTTATGTCTAAAAATGTATCGTTTCATGCATCGGTTAAAACGCTCGACTCCAGCTACATGACGCGCAGCTGAAAACACTTCCCGCAAGTCGAGCTGCCCGAGGTTCACAGAATTTACAGAAAATGTTACATTTTTGTGATTTATATCGTTATCGGACGATAGAATTCTTATATCGGGATATGAGATTTTGGTCATATCGCACAGCCCTAATAGGAGATCATGTGGACGGTCCTCACAATGTCCACACGCAAATTTGCTTAATAGAGTCCCAAGTGCTAAAGAGACTCCCCATAGACTTCCCTCATGATTAAAAACTCCTCCACATAAGTTCCAAGTGATGAGTCAATGCGCATACACAGTAGACAGTCATTCAGCAAAGAATGAAAAGCGAGCAAGCTGCTACCATTTTATATTACCAAAAGAGATAATTAGACAGAACTGAGAGTGACAGAAAGGGTGTGAGATGTATGCAAAGTTTTTTTTTCACCGTGTTAATTTTATTGAATGATGAGATAAACATCTAAGAAAAAGTCAATAACACGGAGAGCAGAAAAAAGTGTTGTAATTTCCCCTTAATATAAAGTTGCTGTAATGAGTGAAGTAACTGATATACTGCTAATTTATCTCCTTTTTAAAATGCACTTGCTGTTTTTTTCTTGTTATGATATATTGATGTGTCTCTCTGGTGCTTCTGCTCAAGCGTCACCTGTTATTGTTCTGGGAGATTTCTCCCTCCAAATTAGATTTCTCTTATACAAACTTATTTCTCATTCTGCCTTTTGATTTCCCCTATTGAATTAGTAGAAATGATGATAGAGTCTCCACAGAGCAAGAACAGTGCTTCCGTGGAGTTGAGGTCATGTTGAATTTAAAGCAGACATTCACTGTAGGTTGTATGAAATAAAGTGTTACTGTGAAGGTCAACATGAAGACACATTGTTTTTGCTGTTTAAGCATCCAGCGGGAATTCTGTATTTAAAATAACAGAAATTCATGATTAAATCCTATATGTAGTAATGTTATTCTTTCCCTCATCTTTTTGTTACTTAGTCATGCTCATTTCAAAATAATGAAAAGACAATAAAATGTATAAATAAAATTGAATTGAATAAAACATGCCGAGGAAAGCACTCAGAAAGGGACCATTTGCAATAGAACAAATATACGCTCATCAACCACTTTATTAAGGAAGTTCAAACTGAGCATCAGAATGGAGAAGAAAGGTGATTTAAGTGGTGCCAAAAACAGGCTAGTCTGATTATTTCAGAAACTGCTGATCTGCTGGGATTTTCCCACACAGTCATTTCTTGGGATTAGAGAGAATGAAAAACAGAAAGCATCTGGTGAGCGGCAGTTCCTTAGGTGAAAATTCGCTGTTGATGCCA